AGGCATAGTTGTCATTTTCTAATATAAAAGGGCAGAATTGTCATTTACTACCTAAATGATAAGTTTAATTTATATATGACAGTAAAAAACATAACTAAAAATATAGCTAACGAAATTGATAAATGATAGTTTTTCTATTAAAATGACATATTTGTCATTATTATAATATAAAATGGCATGGTCATCATTTTCTAATATAAAATGGGCATAGGTGTCATTTCTAATATAAAATAGCGGAGTTGTTATTTCTAATATTAAAGGGTAGAATTGTCATTTTCAACCTAAATGATAGCTTTGAATATATATTTGACAGTAAAAACATAACTAAAAAACAATATAGCCGATTGAAAATTAACAATAGCTATTTTCTATTAAAATGATATATTTGTCATTTTTATAATATAAAATTTCATAGTTGTTAGATTCTAATATAAAAGGACAAAGTTGTTATTTTTTAATATAAAAAGGATAGAATTGTAGAGACTCTTATGTTTTAGGATTCTCTATCTATTTTAACCACTATAAATACATTAAATAGCTATGTACTTTTTATATATGAATTGTGTAGATTGTTATGTCTTAGGATGCCTTATCTATTTCAAACACTCTATATGGATTTGTAATAATCGAATAGACTGTTTAAAGTAGAATACATTAATAAGAAATACGAAAGCTTAATGTTATAAATAAGTAGTTTTTACCGAAGAAATTATAGCTTGGGTATATAGTTTTTACCATTTCATAAACCTTTACAAAAAAAACTTACCATGTCTAGTATAGTGGTGTATGTCCCTAAAACGTAATACATATTTTCTGAAAAGCCTTGCATAGACCGATTATTACTAAGAGTAGACATATTTAAAAAAAAAAAATCATTTTTTAAAATAGAATGTCATTTCAAGTACATCCTAGTAGCCATTTTTAAAGTAGGATGACATTTCGTCTGTACTTCCATTTATAAAACATGAAAAAGTCTACTACTATACCTTTATCAATATATAAAAACATCACTAAAATAAAAAATTAAAATCAATAAAATAAAGAAGGAAAAAATCAGATTATGAGAACAGAGGAAGTGAGAAAGTGAGAAAGAATTAGCCAAATTAGGCACTCTAAAAACTTATTTAACATTAAACAAAATATTAGAAAACATTGGTACAACAAACAATGTAAATATGATTAGGTTTTAATAGAACCAACAATGTTAACCGATAAACATTCATATTAAAATTTTGATAAAACCAACAACTTTACCTTACCTGAGCTAACATTAAATAGGAATTGTGGAGTCTAAAACACATGTTACTTAAAACACATATATTTATTAAACATGATGCCTATAAGATGGTACATAAGAACCGTAAGATAAGGAGAAGAAGATAGAAATAAGGAAAATAAAGAAAAATAATAAAGTGATCGATAGTTGTTTGGAGAATGATGTACCAGATTCGCAGAGAAGAAGTAGGAAGAAATCATATGAGAAAGACGGCAAATCTTGGAAATCATTTTAGGGGTTCGGTTTATATAAACGAAATCAATAAGCAAATGTAATATTGTAATCATTATTTTATTTCATTCCTATTATGATGCAGGTATAGATGGTAAAAGATAAAGCAATTAAAAAACATTGCTGAATTTAAGGGATTTGGTGATATATGATACTTAAAATGTTTTAAATGCAGGGGGAATTTGGTAACCGAATGCCCAATTAGTAGGAGATGATCAAGGAAGTTGATGTCAATTCTTCAAAGAAGCATTGAGCGGGAAAACAATTCATATGATGACTGAAGCTATGACACGTGGAATGAAGGAGGTGTAGAAAGGAGACATGTGGCTCCTTAAAGAGTCTTCTATTAGGAAGAGAGATATCGGGCGGGGCCCAATGCCTGGCGGGGCCTGAGGACTGACATATATGTATATCAAGCGAGGCTCGATGCCGAGCGTGGCCCGATGTCGGATGGGGTCCGATGTTGGACGGGACCCAATGACAAGGTGGGGCCTATTATGTGTTTATTTATTTATGTATGGTATTGGTATTTTGGGGAACTCACTAAAACTTGTGCTTACGGTTTTCATTTTATATTCCAGGTACTTCGGTTTTCAAAAATGGAAGATCTCGGGATGATTGCAGAGCACACACCGCATGTTTCCGTATTATGTGATATACTCTAATTTAATGATGTTTTGAAAAAACGTGACTACCTTGAATTTATGGAAATGATATGTAGTAATGATTTATTAATCTAAAAACGAAAACTTTTATGTCATTATTTTTTAGACGTTACAATTATTATTATTAATTATAGTTTTTTTAAGGTATATTATTATTATTATTTTAATGTTTAAATTTAGTTGTTTGTTTTAATTACCGTATGTTTTTTGTTTTCTTTATTTTAGGAGAAGATTCAAGATGCGTATGAGAAAATGCAAAGCGAGACTGGGGAAGGCGGAGAAGTAGATGAGGAACAATGTCTCGCACGTACCCTCGGGACGAGACACGAACATGCTCGTAGACTGGGTAGGAGACCAACCGCCAACTTCAGTCTAATTCCGAATGAATGTGCTTCCACTTACACATTTTCCAAATCTTAATCCAAATCTTATCCCAATTTGATGCACAACAAATGCAATAATACTTGAAACAATATAATGCATTATTGATGACATATATTCCTAATTTCCAACCACCACCATTTCCTAGCTTTCTATTCAATTCCAATACATAATGAAGTACCTCGGAAGGAAATACCTCTCAAAAAATTGTTGAGCCCAAGAGGATGGAAGAAAAAGAAGAATATGATAATGACGGTTGATGTTTTGTATTATTTTGAACAATGTTAACTACTTATTGTATCTAATTTGATATGTAATATTAAACTTGAATTTGACGTTTTGAATTTGAACAATGGTAGCTAGTTATTGTATCTCATTTGATATATACTGCAAAATGCTTGGATTTGTTAAAAATGTAGGATTGGTAAATTTACAGGATCCGTAAAAACTAAAAAACATTCGGTGGCTATCCCGATGACTTATCGTCACTATAGCTAACTGAAAAAACTGTAGCGACGACATGTCGTCGCTATAGGTGTACCTATCCCGACGATATGCAGTCGCCACAGGTAATTAATAAAACTTTAATTTCTTTTTTAAAATCATTCCCGACGGAACATGTACCGACAAAATATCGCCAATGTAGGATGAACCTATGAACCTATCCTAACGACACTTATGCCAATGATTTTTTTGACATATCCCGACAGTCCTATGCCGATGACATGTCGTTGGTATACCCTATCCCGACAACATGTTGTCATCACATGTTCAAAAAATATCATCACCACAGGGTGTTAATGTAGTAGTGGTTTTTGTTTTCTTCGGTACCTATATGATGTTTGCACCGACTTGTGTTCATTGTTGTGTTAAAAAAACCGCATAGTCGGGTGAATAGTTAACAAGGTTTTGAATGAACATAAACGGTAATAAAAATAAATGGGTGGACAGGTTTAGCAATGATGTAAAAAATTAGAATGCCAAGGCGAGGTGGACTCTTGATAGTTTGGTATAATAGATACAGTTTTAAAATGGTGCAGGTGACGTTTGGAGTTATGGTATTCCCATGGAAAATGGAGTTTATGATATTTACTAAGTACTTGTAGTTTGAAAAGTAATTACCAAAGAATAGTAAAATAATTATGAGTCTTTTTTTATATTAAAAAATAAATAATTGAAGTGGACTTAACATGTACCCTTTCTGTCTACTCTTTTTGTTTTCTTCATCGTCGAAACTCTGGTTTCTTTCTCGTCGGAGCTGCCACTTTTGCATTAATATGGAGCGCCTTCCCCCTATAGGTGGATAATAAATACACAAGGGGAGAATAACTCCATCCCTCCTTGCACCTATCTCTTTAGGAAGATGTGCTGGTATTTTTTATTAAAAAAATCATAATAGTACGACACAACAACTGGCGGGATAGTTTGTTGCACTTGAAATCACTTAAAGCAAGTGGGTTTATCTCATAATACAGGTAATCACTTGGATCAACAATCTTTGGAGCATCTTAGTCTAATACATTTTTCGGTACCTTAAGACCTTGCCATGAGTCGCTTTTGTTTCTCAGTTTTTGTGGCATCCTCGCTCTTAGTGGGAGTTCCTACTTGCTTGCTTTTCTTCTGTACGACCATTATCGAATTGTAACTTGTCATTTAATTATCTGAGATATGAGATTTCTCCAAAATTTGTGTTTTGTAACAATTTCGAGTCTAGTTATCTTAATCTTAAGTTAAATGTAGTTGTCTACGTACATTCTTAGAGTGATTCTGGAGTAATCGGAAAATTCTTGACTAATGGTTTTAGTTTTTTAGAGGTTTCGTACAACTAGTTCTCCTGTGATGTTTGATTTTACCTAGTTAAAAAATATATAAGCCTTGTTTCTTTTCCATGATATTTTTAGATGCTTGGTTTTAGACATGTCACACGTCGAGTTCTCAGGTTATAATCTTTTGAACACTGTTGGTTGTTGCCTACGAAAAAGAAACGGTGAAATTCCAACCATATCTTGACGGAAAGAAGTTTTTCCGGTGAAAAAATGAGAAATGAGAACTAAAGAAAGAAGAAAGATTAAAAATAGACTGGTTAGACCATTTAATATATTGATAATAAAATATAAGCTATTGAGCTTATATTTCTTTAAGTACCACGTTTTTGTAATAATCTCCATTAAATTCTTTTACTATCTTCTTGTAAAAAACTCATGCTCGAGAATCACTCTAAGAATGTACTTAGACAACTACATTTACAAACACGTGATTCTTACAAATACTAGCTACCTTTCAAGTTACAAAATAAATTAGAGGTGAAACTTACAAATTAATCCGAACCATAGGGACCATTTATGTAGTTTACTCCTTATTCCACGTATGCTTGCTTGCTTATAAATAAGGGAACCCTTCTCCCGCAGCAAACAACTTACAACAACAACAGTACTAAATCTGAAAACATGGTTTCCATTAATTCCAAGCATGCACATGCACTTCTACTCCTTATCTCCATTAATCTTGCATTCTTTTTCTTTACAGCACTCTCACAATCCAACCCCAACATATCCATCGGAATCGACAACGAAGGGCTGTTTGTCTACGTCTTCTCAGTTGCTGTCGTCCGAGTCGATATTCCCGCCTCCAACCTCCAAACTACATCACTCCAAAACCTAGCCGGCACTGATCACCGTGATTCTGCTGCTGGTTCCACCTCCACTTGCTCCGGCGTAATCCCTGACATAAGAGCATGCCAGAGCCAAGGTGTGAAGGTGTTTCTTTCTTTAGACGGTAGCTACTCTGTCTCTCAAGATGCACAACAATTTTCCGATTACATATGGAACACCTTTCTCGGTGGCCAGTCGAATTCCCGGCCGTTTGGTGACGTTGTTTTTGACGGAATCAATTTTGATATCGAGGCCGGATCAGGATCAGACCAGTTTTGGGCTGACGTGGCTACCTCTTTAAAGGTGCACAGCTCATCATCATCCCAGCTGCAGAAAAAGCTCTACTTATCTGCTGCAGTCCCGTGCCTATTCCCAGCTGACGCTCATCTTGGTGCTGGGCTGTTCGACTACGTCTGGGTGCGTTTTTATAACAATCGGCAGTGCGAGTATGGAGCGAATGCTGTTGCTTTATTAGCTGCATGGAACCGCTGGACTACTCAGGTGATCAACTCCACTCATATTTTCTTGGGTCTGCCCGCAGCTCCCGGAGCTGCCCGCAGTGGGTACATTCCACCGGATGTTCTTACTTCTACTGTTCTTCCATTCATCAAGACTTCTCCCAAGTATGGCGGGGTAATGCTGTGGGACACCTTCTATGATCAACAAACTGGATACAGTGCGGCTATCAAAAACAGTGTTTGATTAATTTATGTGCTCGGTCAAATTATAATATATGATGAATAAGTTCATCTTCTCGGATATGAACATGGACGATCACATGGTATATGCTTGTAATTGATGCATAAGTACAATATTGAATGTCGTGATTAATTTTCTTTTGTGTTGATGACAAAAACATGTAAAATAAAGGAAACTATCTATAAAAAAAATGAAATAACACAGAAAACGTCAAAAATCAGATCATGAGACTTACCTATATATTTTTACTTTACATATTTAATAGGTTATTATTATATGTTACGTAAAAATAGGCAACCCTTATGAATTAAAATAATAAATGGTATGTTTTTTAGAATTTAACAAAAAGCTTCGTATGTTTGTTGAGGATGGTATATCGTGTTCCTAAAAAAACCTGATCAATATGATGTAATAACTATCCACTACACATACACAAATGCTTTCTGGTTTAAAAAGCCAAATTCCTCCACATGCATTGTGATAATTGATAGTGTCAAACGAATCCAACAATTAAGGGAAGAGTTAGAGGTGGCAAAACAAATAGTTTTTTAGATTTGGATCCGGAAGCAAGTAGTTAGGTGTTGATTGTGTTGGATTAACCATATCTCTCAAAACATTTTCTAATTAATCTTGCAAATTGGTAATTTATATAATTATATTGTTTAGTTCTCATCTCAAATCCGTTTCGAATAAGATGTATGAGAACAAACTAAATGATGATGGAATGGATGATAAAATTTGTGATTGGAATAAGTTTGCCTAATAATATTGTTTCTATTTGTATAAATTGGTATCCAAAAAAAAAGTCTATTTATAATCAAATATAATACAATACATATTTGATTGGAGTTGAATATAACTGCTGCAAAACCTTTTCTTGTATTTTATAAAACTACGTTCAAAAAAGTCGATAGAAATGGATTTTTTAGTATTAATCTTGGTTATCAAATATATTCATAGCGTGGAGTCCAAAATTATATATTGATCTTATGGAAAGAAATGAGATTCTGACATATATAATCGTTTATAAGACTGTATTAAAACTGTTCACGGATATTAGATACACTAACATTAAAGTTGTTAAAATTGGTGGGCAAGATGCGGCTTGTGGTCCAAGTGATTTTTCAATCGTATTAGTCAATTGACGGATTCAGCTTTTGGGATGTTAATAAGATTAAGACTCTTCAATACGTAAAAAGGATTCAAATTGCTGTTCATTATTATTTAGATGGGCAATTAAGGAAGTTCAATATGCCATTTAAAGTTTCGGTCTTTACCAACACATCAAATTTTTTGGAAAACAACCTTGTGTTTTTCAAGGGGTTAATTGTTCAAAAAAGTATATCTTCCAATTTGTGACATTTAAGGTTTTGGAAAATGTCAGCTTAGGGTGACTATTCAGGATAGACGGGTTGGATTCAATAGGTAATGTGTCATGCATATAAATTAATAAAAAAGAGATGGGTCAAAGGATTGAGTATTATATAATATATATGTGAATGCGATATGATAAAAGGATAGACGGGTTGGATTCAGTAGGTAATGCGTCATGCATATAAATTAATAAAGAAAAATGATGGACGAAAGGATGGAGTGTGTGTGTATATATATATATATATATATATATATATATATATATATATATATATATATATATATATATATATATATATATATATATATATATATATATATATATATATAGAGAGAGAGAGAGAGAGAGAGAGAGAGAGAGAGAGATAGAGAGAGAGTGAGAGATAGATAGGTTCAAATGTTTCTAGCAGCTATTGTGTTCCTAAATACACTAATCACAAATTAGCAAATAATTAAACAATTAGTTAAATCAAAAAGGGTATTTCTGGTTTTTTGCACCTGCAATTAAGAAAACAAAATAAATACATGTTGACCTAATTTCTCTTCTTTATAACCATCGACATAATGTATCCCTCATCTTTAAACCTAAAGAAACATCGACCCACATGTATCCTATCTTCATTGTCAACGACCACCACCATCTTCTTGTCTTTCCAGTTGCTGACCACAACTATCATCATCTTCATCGCAGTCGATCAATGTCACTGTCAGAGTCAATTTACTCCCTCACTTGCCCCACAATTGACATTGCCACACCTTCAGGTATTGCAGTAATTAGGTTGAAGCACATCTGCAAAATGTTGTTGATGTACTCCCTCGTTAATCATTGTGTTATTGTTAAGGTAAAGTTCAATCAAGCATTCGGTCAATCATCATGTAATTAGATAAATGGCATTAGTAGATCTAGGGTTCAATCAAGCATTCGGTCAGGACTCGTGTTCGTCAATCATCGTGTTATTGTTAAGGTAAAGTTTAGTTGCTTAATTTTAAGATCAAACAAATTACGTCTCAAATTCAAATTTAATTCAATGTTTGAGATTCTTAGGAGTTATCTATGTATATGTTTAATTGGACAATGAAGATATTGGAAAGCCGGTTGGAGATGATTTTGGCATCACAGGAGATGCTC